AGACCACGTTATGACATCGCCGGACCGTCGAGAAGGCCGGACTCGCAGGGACGACGGCGGCGGCTAAATCCCCCGGCCGCACGAGTGTGGGGACTGCGGTGTAGCGTAGCACCGTGGCTGCTAGTGGTAACTATTGTGGAGTAGTGATTTTTCCACATGTGGTCGAGGGGGGTCGGATGCTGCGGCGCTTGGTGATATTGGTTTCCGTTCGCTGGTGGAGACGCAGACATGCGATGAGATGAGGGTGATGCCGCCGACGGCTGACAGCCACTGCCCCAACGCCTCCAATCGCAGCGGGGAAAAAGCAACCAACCACATCCCAGACTGCCGCTAGCAGCGTCCCCTCGCAATACCAGCTGAAACCGAATGTTCAACACGACGAATATAAGTATCTACCAGCGCCCCCGACGAAATCACCGAATACTCCATTCCAGCACGCCGTCTTCAATCAGCAGCACACCCCCTCACACTCCCTCAGATATCTTCTGCAGCCACCACCACACGCAAGACCAGCACGAACAATGCGGTTCTCGACCAGCACCCTCATCGCTGCAGCGCTCTCGCTGCTCAGCGTCGCCACCCCGGCGCTGGCGGCGGACGCGGACGCGTGGAAGACGCGCAGCATCTACTTTGTACATACATCCCCCTCTCCGCAGCAGTCATTGAGAGTTGGACGCTGACGGGACGCAACAGGTGCTCACCGACAGATTTGCGAAAACGTCGTCGTCGGATACGACCGCGTGCTCGAGCCTGGGCTCGTACTGTGGCGGCACGTGGAAGGGCATGGAGCAGCGCCTGGACTATATCAAGGGCCTGGGCTTTGACGCGGTGTGGATTACGCCCGTTGTCGAGAGTATGCCTTACGCCCCCTCCGTCTCCCCCCTGCCCTCCCCGCCCTCCCCACCAACCACCTACTGACACCCCACCCCGCAGACACCGACGGCGGCTACCACGGCTACTGGGCCAAGAACCTGTACAACGTCAACAGCAACCACGGCACCGCCGCCGAGCTCAAATCGCTGATCTCCGCCGCGCACGACAAGGGGATGTACATCATGGTCGACGTCGTCGCCAACCACATGGGGCGCGGCGACATCACGACCTTCAACCCGTTCAACGCGGCCAGCTACTACCACGACACGTGCACCATCAGCGACTACGACAACCAGACGAACGTCGAGTACTGCCGCATCGCGTCGGACCTGCCGGACGTCAAGACCACCGACAGCGGCGTGCGCGCGACGTTCCAGAGCTGGGTCAAGGACCTGGTGGCGACGTACCAGATCGACGGGCTGCGCATCGACACGGTCAAGCACGTCGAGAAGGACTTCTGGCCCGGCTTCGTCGCCGCCGCGGGCGTGTTCGCCACCGGCGAGGTGTACAACGGCGACCCGGCCTACGTCGGCCCGTACCAGGCCTACGTGCCCAGCGTGGTCAACTTCCCCATGTACTACAGCATGAAGGACGCGTACGCCAGCAAGGGCAGCCTGCAGGCGCTGGTCAACCAGCACAACAGCGTCAGCGCGAACTTCGACCGCCCCGAGCTGCTGGGCACGTTCGTCGACAACCACGATGTGCAGCGCTTCCTGAACGTCAACAGCGACTGGACCGCGCTGAAGAACGCGCTGGCGTACACGCTGCTGGCGCGCGGCATCCCGATCCTGTACGGCGGCACCGAGCAGGGCTTCACCGGCGGGAGCGACCCCGCGAACCGCGAGGACCTGTGGCGCACGGGCTACGCCACCACCGGCGACCTGTACACGTGGATCAAGAAGGTGATGGCGGCCAAAGTCTCGGCAGGCGGGCTCGGCGCCGACGACCATGAGCATCTGTATGTGTCGTCGAGCGGGAACGGGTATGCGTTTTCGCGCGCCGGCGGGAAGCTGGTGGTGCTGACCACGAACGGCGGGAGCGGCACCAGCGGCACGCATTGCTTCGACACGGGTGCGGCGAGTGGGACGGTGTACACGAGCGTGCTGGGGTCGACGACGTATACCGCCGGCACGAACGGGAACATCTGTGTGGTCGTGTCGAACGGCCAGCCGGAGGTGCTGCTGAGGTGAGTTGCGGACCGGGTGCAGGGAGTGGACGAGGCTGACTAAAAAGTTCGTGATAGTGGCGGTGCGAGTGTCACGACCACGGCGGCGCCGACTGGGACGGCGACGGGGAGCTGTGTCACTGTTACAGCGACGGTAACGGTGTAGTGTAGGATATGTTGCTAGGGGCTTGTTTATCGTGTATTTGTTTGAATATCGTGTATTTATTTTGGAATTGACAACGTGAAGAATATCGTGTCGTGCTCGTGAAACGCAGGTCCGACGAAACAGCCCTGGCTTTCCAGGATGGTTGACTTGTGTGACGGCGGGGAGAACAGGATCGGAAGGTCGGAGCTTGTGGTGTTGCATTGACGCATTATGCTCTGCCCCAGGATGTTCCCCGCCATCGTGCATGTAACGGCGATCCCACGTGCAACTGGCACCTAGGCTAAGCACTTTATTCCCACCGCGCCTTGCGCCGATTAGTAAACCGTAAAGTCTCTCACGCTCGTCAAGTCCTGAAATTTGCTGGAATTACGGAACCTATGGTTGTGTTCGATGTGTCTTGAATGTACCGGAAGGGAAAGAGAAAAGGTCGATGAGACTCGAGCCCATATGACCAAAACTGAACATAGATGATGCAGGACTGCACACTTCAACGCCCCCTTTCAACCCTGCACAGCTGAGAATTCAGTTCAGTAAGAAATCGAAGCCCATTATCCACATAGTACCAAGAAAAAGCAACATTTGATAGAGAAAATATAGTGATTTAATGCCCATCAGAGTAGGGTAAATAGCAAGACTAAGTGCAAGCATCAAGCAAGCTAAATTTATCTCTATCCGAGCAAGATCCGATAAGCAAAGCAAGAATGTTGGCCAACAGTAAAAAACAGTGCGAAACCACTGGAGAATATCATGCAAGCGAGATAGGGTATAATTTTCGCCGTGGGCATCATGAGATTCTTACAGCACTGACTAGTTAATGCGGTCAATGAAATCCGTCGTCATTAGCTGTGGAGCGTCAGGCAATGTAACAAATAGACGAAGCAGCTTAGAGGCTGTGAATAATCATGAGATAAAGCACTTGTGAGAGCTGTTAGTGATAGAGCCAAAGGCAGCTCGTAAGTGCCCTCAGTGATAAAGACTCGATGAAGAAGCTCGTGTGACTCGCTGTCAGTGTGATAAAGAGGTCAAGCAGCAAGCTTTTATCAGTGAAGCGAACTCGAACCGGAAGTAAAGTGAGTTAAGCTATCTGACGATGCAGTGGAAGCAAGCTGGGACATCCTAGGCACAACAGTTCAGAGACTGGTTCTAAAACCGTTCTGGCGATGAAACAATGATCATATTCCATTGTCTGTTAAGTGGAGTGTATAGGAAGAGAAAGATGAGAGCAGAATTAAACGGTGATGGAATGCCAGGAGACCCGACCCAATATGAGCAAAACCGAGCCATCGATGATGCAAAATTCCATACACAACCTGGCCAGTCAGAACGCCGCCTAGTTGTAACATTTAGCTACGGTCATAGAAACATGAACACAAGGCTTCCCGTCCGCTCAGCCCTATTTAAGCATGTTATCGCCAGGTTAGTACTGCAGTGGGTGACCATGCGGGAATCCCTGGTACTGTAGTTTTACTTTTTGGCGGGGTGGAAGTAAAGTAGCGCGGATAAAAATGGTGAGAACGAAAGGGAGCGTGTAAAGCACTGCAGTTCTAGCGGTGGTGGCGGAAGCGGGCACGACGAGCGCTAGGTACTTTTGGCTGGCTGTTTGAACTGCGATGGAAAGATTCTGTGGTTTACCGTGTCCGGGCGCGGCTGGGAATATAACATGTACAATGAAGCAAGCGTTTTCTGAAAGAACAGCCACGCAGCGAACACTATGCAATCCCGATTGATATCTAGTTTATCAGCGACAAGACCTCTAGCAGTTCGTCGCGAGGCAGCATTAAAGCTGGCCGATCGGTCCGTTCGCCTACTCAACAGCGCAAACGAAGAACTTGAATGGTTCCACGGTTTTGTAGCGCGCGCGATCGTATGCTTTGCCGCAAAGCATAGAAGATCCTCGACAGCAAGAAAACGAAGACTCGGATTTCTAACTTATTAGAATGCTACTAAAACGCTCGGGTATTTCTAGTTCGCTGCGCAGGGAATACGCGAACGATGAGATGATCGCAGGATCTAGAATTATCTAAATGATTTTACTGGTAAAAACGTTGTTAGGCTATCTTTCAGTGCATACAGAATGATAAACGAAAACCCTTGTCTATGGGACAAAGGTTAAAGACATACATATTATAGTTCTGCTTCAAAAGTATAAAAGTTTTGCAGATGCAAAAGGATGTTCCGCCACCGGGAATTGAACCCGGGTCTAGTCGGACCTTCACAACTGAATGCGATGAAAGCGACCAATGCTAGCCACTACACCATGGCGGATCACATGTACTCACTCGTGAGCGTACACAGTTTATCGCTGCACCCAATTGCTGGAGATTGGTGGAGTAGCGAGTGCTGAATGTCTGCATGGTATAGATTTCGCTACTATTAAGGATAGCGTCTCTACAAGCGTAGTCATTCAGGGTCATAACCATTGCAGTATTTCACGTACACCCAGCGCTCAAATTTCCGGCTTTCGCTCATCATCTCATCGCTTGATCATTATTTTATCGTCGAGGCTATATCGAGATGCAGTCCGCCTAAGGGCCAACCAATGCCAACCGACGACGCCCCTCATTCACCTCTGCGATGTACTCTACTGAGCGACTCACGACACGCTAGCATGAAAAGCCACCAACAGTAATCTTTGGTGAGGGTTTGTATGAGAGCAACCGCATACTGGTCGACCTGTGGATTATGCATTTCATCACTTAAACACTAGGGCTTGTAGACGGGAAGTGAGGGACAGACCTCGACGACTACTGTTTATAGTAGAGTGATAGTCTCTACGACGGCTTCATATGCATCCCTTCTTTGGTAGTATAGTGGTTAGTATACCCGCCTGTCACGCGGGTGACCGGGGTTCAATTCCCCGCCAGAGAGTCTTCCTTTTGCTCGCTTCATCTTCATTTTTTGCGGTAGCGAAGACATACTTGCTCGAGAATATCGCTGCAACAAGTTTTTATGGGCCGCTGTACGAGAGAACCCTGTGCGAATCAGCTGCCTAGAGGTAGGTCGCAGTTCGGTAATAGAATGTAGCCAAAACCTGGCCGAGTTTGGGCCTATATATCGAAGTAGATTTGAAACAGGCACTTGAACATTCACACCGCCTACGAAGTACGGTTTATGGATGATAGTGGTATCTTGAAGATATGGGTTTACTTGGATCGAAGATCTTGACGACGGCTGTCGTGCATTGATTGTGAAAACTCCGAATTGTCTTTCGACTATGAACTTTTCACGTTCGCTTGTTTCGGCTGTGTGTATTACGGTATCTCTCTGGCCCTAGAGTTCTGAATTCATTCTAGACTCGATGTAAATTTATTGAGGCTTGTGTGCCATGATATTTCTATCAAAATAATGTCGGATAATTGAAACATCATTGCAAAAATCCCCTTGAATACCTTCACACTATGGCAAGTTACCTGCGCACCCACATATATCATGCGAAAAGAACCTCAAAATCCACCAAGATGAACGGAAGTGCCCGCCGAGCCTCACTGCGTGACATGCACCAGCGCCCCGCCAAGCCCCGTCCCAGCCCCCACGAAAAAAAACTTTCACATCACCGCATCATTACCCGGCGACCGTAATTTTCTATAAATCCACCGTTTCCCTCGCACTCCTCTTAAACCAGTATCAGTAGGTTTATACAACCTTAGGAGTTCCACTACGGTGGCTTGCTGAGTGCTGCTTCTCGCCCTTGTGGCGGGCCATAGGCTTCGTTCCGTTCCCGACTCTTTAGATTAACCCTCTCTGCTGGCCCTTGACGGGGCTGGCGGGGCGTGTGCTTCCCGAATTATTCTTCCTGGGCGTTGGGGAGAAGGATGGGGGGTGGACGGTACATATCTTCTGCCATGATTTCACTGCATTGATGCTGGCTGAGGCCGATGGCAGAGTTGAACTCGACGATGTCTGAGCATATCGAGCGATCGTGCCTCCGACCCGCTGGTGAAAATTTCCTCCGCCAAGTCTCTTTAGACCATCGCCGCTTCCATGCCATTTGACGTAATTGACGCGACGAGAATCGTCAAGGCTTCTTGTGCTGCGAGTGCGGGTGTGCAGCGCGACCTGCGGATTTGTTCCGCAGTGCTTCCTGCCAGCGTCTGCCTCCAAGATTGCTCACTCATCAACGTGCTGGTCGAGCCCCAACGTCGAAAAGCGTATCGACGTTGGGATACAGCCGGCGCTTCTGAAAAACGGGTTTGCGAGTGTTGCCCTGCGGAGCGCTGTGGCCACGGCGATTGAGGGCTCCGTGCCGCAGACGGCGAAGACGGAGTCCGTGACGGAGCATGATAGTGGAACGAGGGTCGGTGTCGCCGGTCTCATGTTGAGATCTGCATTCGAGATGATAGAAGCGTTCCACCGCTCCGACCCTCCAAGCAACCTCTCTTCGTACGACTTGGTCACAGTGCTGCTTTCCCCCATCATTCACTTCGTCCATTAGCTCGTTCAATAGACTAGGCAGCCTTTGTACACAAAAAAACTGAAAGCCTTATCGTTTGCCAGGCAACTTTGATTAGAACTTGGAGCTCGTCTCCTCGTACTTCGCTAGTAGCTTGAAGCTTCACGGTATATCTAGTCTACTTTGCATTGCATGACAGTGATAAAACAGTGCGCGAGTCCCATCCAACACACATAGACAAGGCATGTGTAGGATCCACAGCGGCTTCGCGGACAAGAAATTTGCGTTTGGGAAGTTTGGGAATGCGCCGCGCAGAGAGAATGACAGGGTTCCGGCATGCCAAATTCGCTTCCTGTGGTTGATTTTCTTGCCACGGCAGCAGTTGTTGTATCTGCTGTTGCGGTCTCTCTTGCTGCGGTAGGCCGTCGTAGGCGTATTCCAGAATCATCACTCGAATATTTGCCATGGTATGAGAGAATGGATGTGTCAAGTTCAATGATAGCCCACCATCAACCGACCGGATTTGAAATGCGCGTATAGTTGACGATGACGAAAGAGTATATCTCTTGTTTTCGTCTCGGCTGTTGTTGTTGATGAATGTGGTGTTGCGGTGGCGCCGCGAAGAGCAAATGATAGTATTACTGCTCGCTTAAGACCACAAATCCTAGGATTGGTTAGCGGATGGCTTGCCACGGTGGCATGTTGTGTCGTTGTTTCTGCTATTGTTGTTGTTGATGTTGTTGGTGGGAAGAAGAGAAGAGAAGACGGTAGAGATGAAAGCCGCTTATAAGTACACGAAGGGTGCGGCCAGCCATCCTGCTTGAATGTACTTGACCGTGCTAGACTGGTGGCGTGGGCTGAGCCCTCCGGCTATTACGCTGGCGCCGTGGACTGGAGCGCATGTGTGAATGTGGGGTTGGGCTCAAAACACCTGCCGTAACACACATGCCGATAGCAGATGTCTTCCAGTGTATTAGATACGTACGTTCAAGGCCGACTGACAATTTGTCACTTTCTTCTCAAACATGAATAGTACAATAAAACACAGTTACTCATTGTCCTACTACCTCAAAGCTTCTACAGATAATTCATCAGAGGGCTGGTCACTCGGTGGTTGTGAGATGGACATCTCGCGACACGCACACTGAAAAATAAAATCGACGCTCTGGATCTATACCGCCGTTACGATGAAGACTATCGGAAACTGCCTCGCCACGGCAGTCTCGGCGGGGGGCTGCGGGAGCCTGTGCTATTGGGTATGTGCTTGGTGGCATGTTTGTGTATGCTTGCTGTTCAAGGTCGATAGAACAGTTGCACGTGTAGTACTTATACATCGAACAAATCTAACACCGGTGTCGCCTCGTGCACCCGTCACCAGTTCCACAATCCCGCTTTTCCGGTTCCTCGGTGAACTGGACGGAAGTTACGAAGGATTGTTGCATCAGGTGGCTGAATCCGATAAAAGCAGTAGCTTGAGGTAGACGATCGTATGATATGCAGACAGGTGACAACTTGTGTATGTATGAGAGAGGGTCTGTAGAAAATGTTGGAATTATCCACTGTGCACACGGTATCACTCGTCTAAGCTTAGGGGCCAAGGTTGACATGTTCTGTATCGTCATGACATGTTCATGTTCCGCTTCGTCTGTTCCATTTGACGGTTTTTGACGCGCATTTTGACATTTTGCATGACTAATCAGTTCTTCGAGCTTCGCTACCTGTAACTATCATCAAACCTATGGGCTAACATTTGAAGCTTTGCTCCAGAAACAAAACTTGCTTGACAGAAAATGCTCTTTGAATGTCAAGTAAATTGACCGCTCTATCAAATCTCACCCGCCGTCAAAACTCGTAATGTTAACCTCAATAACAGCTGCAGATCTGCTCTTTTAAATCTGTGAGCTACATTAGCACTAGTCTTGAAAGCAGCTTCGCTATTTTTATGAGCCGACATATTGCTGTCTGACTTTATTGGAGTTTAACAAAGTGTCGGCCTCGAGAATTTATACTTTGGGTGGCGGCCGGGAGGACTACAGTCTAGGTCACGGGTCTTGGATGTCATCTTGACGTTCCGGAACATACGAGACAGTTCCGGAACTGTCAGGCATGTCAACATGACTGTCAAACTCGGTCCCTACCTAAGCTGGCATCTATCGCACGTATTTTCTGCGCTTCTCGTTATAGTGCACTTAACATGATACCGAACAAGATCATACAATTACACGTTCAGCAGAAAACTCACGATGTGAAGGTAATGCGGAGTATTTGCAAGCGGGTCTTCTTCGGCTTCCTGTATTCACGGCTCCTTATCCGGTACGAATGTCTTCGTATTCGTACAAAGATGTTTATGTTTCTCCTGTAAAGTGCGAGGCCCGAAATCTGTCCCTAGCACGGTTTCCGTGGCTATCCTGCGATGCCGCCGGCTCAGAGTGTGGCTGAGTTCATAGGTGAAGCACTGAACTCTCGAGTGAGCGTAGATAAAGAGGCTGGTGACGAAGGCGACGCCAAAAACATCCATAGATGAGGATAATGTTGAGTTCTCACAGGCCGCTTTGCCTCCTCGGGACGCCAGCGTGAGCTGCACGGCGAATAGCAACAGCGCAGACGACGTCGCAACAGTGCGCTATGCCGGGTACGTAGGGGAAGAGGTGTGATATCGGCGTCGATGACTCGGGCTAGCCGATAATATACGCATCATGTAATACACGAATATCGCCTCTTTGGTAGTATAGTGGTTAGTATACCCGCCTGTCATGTATATATGAAAATAACTCTGTGTGTGTGCTCGCGGGTGACCGGGGTTCAATTCCCCGCCAGAGAGTTTTCTTTTTGCTCATGTCACGTGGTGTTACGGTGGTGTCGTGTTTTTGGACGGTGCGAGGGTGGTGTGGTTTGGTAATATGTGTTGCGTTTGGCTGGGGCCGTCCGGGGGATAATGAGAGTGTTGGACGCCAGTGGTCTAGTAAAGCACGGATTCGCGATGTAATCGTGTGATTTGCAGTGATTCACGGACAGAGAAAGCTCGGACTCGGAAGCAAACAATGTTTAAGCCCATGAAGCGTAGTTGAACTCCAGTAGGATACTGGTTGTCTCGTGCACGGCGGATTATATTTTGCCCCCGATCCAGAAGTCGTTGTGGCTCTGGCTTGAGCGATATCCCAGTGTTCCCCGTCGGTAAGAGGATTCCGGAACAATCACTAAACCAATACTGACGGCTGGGAACGAGATAAGGTCACTGCGTTAGTCAAGCTGCTGAGCTAAAGTTGTTGAGTTGGGCAACCTGCCACTACAAGCTGCAACTCGTACACCGCGGCGGTATATCGTCTCAGATATTCAACGGCAAACCGGACCCGCCGGGTGTGCATAAGTGAACCCCCTTCGTGCCTCCAAACCCAGTCCAGCACCAACCCGACCATGTCCAATCCCAACACCCCAAACCAAGCTTCATCAAACAGTCGTTGGACCTCCGCCCACCGCCCCTCAGTCCACGGTTTCCTCTCCCTCTTCACCACCCCGTCTCCCCACAACTGCATCTGCACCTGCACCAACCCGCAGCACATCGACCCCGTGCGGTCGCGTGGCCCCGCGCTCCTAGCGCAGCTCGCGCGCGTTCCGCCGTGGGTGCGCGATCCGTGGGCCCTCGACGGACCGCCGCTGACCGGGATCTATGTGGACCCGGCAACGCGCCGCGCGGTCCAGCTGCCGGACTTTTCGCACAACTCGTGTATGCTGTGCTTGCTGAAGCACTGTGAGCTAAGGCTGCTGGAGATTACGGCGGCGGAGGGGAGGGGGTACCAGCACCCCGGTGCGGAGAGGGCGGGGGCGATGTGGGAGGCGTATGGGAGGGAGAAGGAGAAGAGGGCGGCGGCTGAGGCGGCGGAGGAGGAGCGGCCGGGCCGGGTTAAGTGCCATGTCTTCGTGGCGGGCCCGGAGTTGTATTCTGGCAAGTACACGCGATATGAGCTCTGGTCTCTTGGAGAAGAAGCGAATGCGTAAGGCGTGTGTGCCAGAATGGATAAGAATTAGATAGGAATAGACACTATTTTCTGTCACTTGTGATTAAAGGCATCAATGTTTGGCAAGCTTGTGCAAATACTGATGGAAATCGGCACGGCACTTGCGAATTTCGTTCAAGATTTTGTAGACTCAAAAATTCAATTCATTGCAAGCTAAAGATAAAAACATGATCAAAACAAATGTCGAAACAACAGACGCCAAAATAAAACGCATTGAACATAATAGAAACCCATTTTCCATGCCCATCCGATATCCGCGCGCGCGTTCCATCATCATCATCCTAAAAAAGTTCCATCCAAGGAAATATAATTGAAAAGAAAACCGTTGACTACTGGAACCGGAGCCAGTCCGAGTCCTGTCAAGCCCATTCCATGATCCATCTTCAACAAAAGAAAATCCAATCCATCCATCCATATGTCCATAATCCAAAGTATCATCCATCCAAGATTCCCAAATCCTCCATCGTAAATCCAATCCCATATCCACCTAATCCCACCGCATTCTCTATCCAACCCGTCTCAATCGAAACCCTTAATGCCCGTGTCCCTGCGCTCCCTCAATCGACTTCGGACACCCGCCTCCATGGAACCCCAGCGCTCCTCTCACACCCTGACAGTCCGCCTTCGCGTGCATCTCCTGGCTCATATTCAAATTGACATTGACATCAAACGTGATGCTCGCCTGCGCATTTCCACCGCCGCTCATTAGCGGATTGCAAGTCATCGACAGGTTGATCTTCGGCAGCATCTGGACGCCCTCAAGCCCGGGGATCGCGCCCATTTGCGCCTGCAGCTGGCCGAGGAGACCTTGGAGTTGCAGCATGATGGCTTGCGTGGCCGGGTTGTCTTCGGGCGCGGCAGGGGTCTCGCAGATGGCCTTGGGGTGCACGCCGCAGCGGTGCGGGCAGACGGAGGGGGAGGTGGAGGTTGGCTCAGTGGGGAGTAGCGTGCAGTCATCGTCGCAGGTGAAGGGGGCTTCGGGAGTGGTCGGCACAACTGGTTCGACTTCCTTTGGTGCATCGGGAACGACCTGGTCAACCTTGGGGGCGGGGACTTCGGGGGTCTTGTCTTCCGGCACTGTGGGGACTGTTGGCGCCTCGTCTTTGGGATCCGTGGTGATTGGATCGGCGGGGATTTCAACAGTCGGCTCGGCCACTGTAGGCTTGTCATCAGGAGTGTTGGGCACTTCTGGCTCGGCATCCTTCGGTTTGTCTGGTACGACGTCGGGAATAACCTCGGGTTCGACCAAATCCGTCTTGGGTGCTTCTGGAACAACTTCGTCGACCTTGGGCTCCGGTGCCTCGTACTCGGGTACTGTAGAAACTGCCGGTGGCTCGTCTTTAGAATCCGTGGTAACTGGATTGGCGGGCACTTCAGGATCCTCAACCCTAGTCTCTGGCACTTCGGGTGTGTCGTCCTCTGGAGTCGTGGGTACTTCAGGTGCCTCGTCTTTAGGATCTGTAATGATAAGGTCGGCAGGCACTTCAGACTGCTTAGGCTCGGCCACCTCAGGCTCATCAACCTTGGTTTCTGGAGCGTTAGGCGTGTCGTTCTCTGGTGCCTCTGGTGCCTCGTCTTTAAGATCCGTGATTGTCAGATCGGCGGGCACCTCGCGCTCCTTAGGATCAGCTGCATCGGGCATATCCGTGATTTCTGGCTCGAAGACCTCAGGCTCGTTAATCTTAGTCTGTGGCACTTCAGGCGCGTTGTCCTCTGGTGCTTTAGGTACCTGTGCCTCGTCTTTAGGATCGGTGGTAACCGGATCGGCGGGGAATTCAGGCTCCTTAGGCTCAGCCAACTCCGGCTCAACTACTTCAGGGTCCTCAACCTTGGTTTCTGGAACTTCGGGTGTGCGTTCCTCCGGCGTTGTCGGTACTTGAGGGGTCTCGTCTTTGGGAGCCGTAGTAACTGGATCGGCGGGTTGCACAGGGTCCTCGGGAGTCGCTTCAGGCTCATCAACCTCAGTGTCAGGCAATTCGGGCGTGTTGTCCCCTGGTGTCATGGGTACCTCGGGTGCCTCGTCTTTGGGACCAGTAGTAGTCGGAACGGCCGGCGCTTCAGGCACCACAGGCTCCACCAACTCAGGCTCATCGACCTTGGTCTCTGGTGTTTCGGGTGAATTGTCCTTTGGTGCCGTGGGTGCTGTTGGTGAATCGTCTTTGGGATCTACGGTAACTGGATCGACAGGTTGCACAGGGTCCTTAGAAGTCACATCCAACTTTACGTCCTCATCAACCTCGGGGGTAGGCTCGACCTGCTTCGGTAGCACATCGGGGGTGACCTCTGGGTCGTTGCTCTTTTCAGGTGTGGATTCAAGCTCGGGAGGTACGGCGAGCTCTGGCTCCTTTGGCGCTTCTGGGGTAGTATCGGGCGTATCATCAACCGCGGGTTCCTTCGACTTTGGCGCCTCGTCCTCTGTGACTGGATCTACTGGAGTGTCCTTTAGTACAACAACAGGCTCCTTTTCGGGATCAGAAACATCAGGCTCATCGACAATAGGCGCTGTTGTATCCTCCGGAGTATCCTCGGGGACGACCTCTAGCTCCTTCGGCGTCTCGACCACTGGCGCAATGACTTCTGGCTCGGTTGGAGCTGGTGGCTCTGGCTTGTCTTCTGGCACCTCATCATCGTCCTCTGTAGCGGGCGTGCTAGAGCGTGAAGAATCGCATGGATGATCTTCGCCCTCATCAGAGGGGTGGCAGTCCGGCTCCGAAGGAGTGTCATTAACAAATGGTACCGTGTCAGTCGGGGGCGTCGGAATATCTGCCTCCACTAGCGGCGCATCTTCTTTGTCGTCGGCATCCTCTGACACGACCTCTCGGTCCTTAGTCTCGGGATCGACAACTTCTGGAACGCTAGCTGTGGGCGGGACCTCGTCAACCGGGGCCTTGAACTCTGGTTCCGGCCCGTCGGTATCCAATGCAGGTGTAAGTGGTAGTTCTGGCTCCTTCGGTGCCGGTGGCATTTCTTCTGGATCAGCAGTAGCGGCCGTAGTGTCTTCTTTAGGATCTTCGGGCGTATCTTGAACTGACAAGGGTGGCTGCTTCTCAGTCGGTGTAGCCTCGGGAACTGGTGGATCGCTCTCTGAAGCATCCATAGGAGTTTGATCGAGAGGCTCCATGTCAGTCGGAGTAGTTTCGGGGTTAGGGGTGGATTCGAGCGCCGGCGCGATCGGCTGTTCTGGCTCGGGAAGCTCCTTGATGGTGGGCCCATCTGTCGGTGCCGGTGTATCCGCATCCGAGACAGGGGTCTCGCCAGCTGGCAAATCATCTATCGTAGTGTTAGCACAAATCTGGGACGCAGAATATTTCTTATTCTTACCGGCTGGGGTTTGCTCAATTGGCGCCGGCGCAGGAGTATCTTCCTTAGGATCCTCCACATCAAGTGTTGAATCCTCGGGCTCTGAAAGATCATCGGACGGAGTAAGATTCTCTACTTCAGGAGTGGGCTTCAGCGTGGCTTCAGCGGGAACAGGTGTTTTTTCCTCTGCAGTTGGTTCTTCAGGCACAGCTTCAGGGATACTTGTCTCTGGAGTCTTATCTTCCTGAGGCTGGTCGTCCTCAGGTGTCTGTTCACTATCCGACTCAATTAGTGCAGGAGTCTCTGGCGTGTGGGAATCTTCTGGAATCTGCTCAATGAGTTCAGGCGCATCCTCCTTAGGCTTCGGCTGAGACTCCTGTTCGACAGGCTCCTCAGGATCTTCAGGCTTCGGAAGGTTTTCAACGGGAGTAGTCTTGTCATCAATAGCAGGTGCATCATCCTCAGGCTCATCCTTGAGAGCTTCGTCGGCAGTTTTGGGCTCAAC